AGTCGAATGATTTACTCTGTCCAAAGATGGCAGCTAATCCAAACGGCTTTTGTTTTATAAATGTGGATTTACAATAAAATGTTAAATACATTATATTTTTTATTAGCTGGGCCACATTGTATAGTAAGTTCATTAACATAGTTATGAGAAAATGTGGAAATTTATAATGAAATCTTTGCTTTCTACAAAAGAGCTTTTGCATCTTTTAAAGAATTTTGCACCAACAAACTGGCTTGTGATATTATTTTAACTATTTTCAGCTAACTAAGCACTTAAAACTACGAAGCATGACAAATCCAGCTACAGCCTCCTGCAAAATCCAAGCTGGAGAACTCTCTAACACTCCTTAGTGTGTCAGTGTCACTGACTGAATTAAAATGACTATACATTTGCATTGATCAGTGTTGTATTAAAAAAATGAAGTCAAAATATACAAAGAGATTAAAGATGCTGTATTTTCAAAGGAAGCATTCCTAAATTTCCTTGAGGCCTGGTGTCATAAATCTGTGTTTCTGCTTCCACGCCCGAGTGAAATGGCTGAATAACCTCCTCAAAATGTAGTCAAGTTTACCAGAGTCCTTTTAATGCCCTGATTATTTGACTCAGGTGTGTTGAAATAAGAGACACCTCTAAGGGATGCAGGACACCGGAGCTCAAGGAATAGGAATTAGGAACCCTGTTTTATGACTTGGAGATGTCTATGGTACTGTATATTCAGGCTCCAGAAGAGCAAGAGAGAGACTGTGCATCTCTGTTTTCATTTAGCAAAAAGGCTAAATGAAATACTACAAGATTGCTGTTTAATCCATTAGTTTTTGGCCTCTGTGTAACGGGGAAAACTTTAAGGATCAATTAAGAAATCAAATATAAATGTTGTGTTCTTGTTTCCTGTTAAAATTGCTATTAGACGCAAACCTTATTTTCCCCAAAAATATTTAAACTCTTCAGGGATGAAATAAACATATTCCATTTAAATGTAAATCGATACTGTTTGGTAAAATTCACATGTCTTATTTTATAATTTTGATGTTTATGAATACGGAGATTTGAAAGAAAATCAAGGTATATTTTTCACAGAAAAATAAAAATAACAAAAAATGAAGAAAAGCTAAATTCAACATTGACAATTCAAAGCTCCATGAAAAGTCGATGGGAAATGGGTAAAACACACCTGTAGATACTGAGTTTTGGAAATATAACAAAAAAAAAAGTTAGCCTTGTGAACACTTGTATTTCGTCATCTCACTAGTGCTATATAGATAGACTTGCCTAGCCTTTCACCTGATGGGACATTGGTTCAAGGTAGGGCTACTTACGTTAAACATGTATTATTTGACTAACCAAATGAAATCAGCATGAAAGTCCTGTAAGCCAAGTTATTTAACATTTTTTCTACAAGGATCTCTTTTCTAAGACTTGTGAAATATACTTTTCTCAAAACTTTGGAAGTTATCTGAGAGAATTATTAGAGGATATTTAAAAAGGTTATTTTCCTTTTTAAATATCTTAAACAAGTTTAAGATATTTAAAAAGGTTATTTTATTCTTATTTTTTTTTTTTCCTTCTAATTCTATCTTTAGACACTAAGAAAACATGGGCCTTCACTAATAGCTGTTTGTTTTAATAGAAAGTCAAAAGGCTGGCTTCCAAGAATATCTATCATCTAAATAAGATTTTTTTTTAAAACATTTTCTAATATTTTTTTCATTTGAATATTTTTGTTCTTGCAGAATTTTTTTTTCTATGTTTCTCTCTTGCCTTTCAGGCCAGTTATAGTATTGTCAGTATAAATTGGCGGTATTCTAGCATATTATTATTATCAAACATGCCTGGTCAGGCTGAACAATACAAACTTCAGTCATTACATTTATTACCTTCAATGTTTTCCTTAAACTGCTTTGGATTGTGTTGGATTTAAATTAATATGGCTTGTAACTATTTACATCAGGCTATTTTTATATATCACACTACCTCCTGCAATTGCTTTAGTATTTTCCTTCTTTAACTTTTGAATGACAGTTTAACTTGATAAAGCAATCCCAAAGGATTCACAGAGTTGTGTCCTATTTTGGGCCAGTCCCAAGCCAGGAAAAATGCACAGGGTTGTGACAGAAGGGCATCTAATGTGTAATTTTAGCCAAATTTACCAGAAGTGTCAATGGAATCATTATCATAGAGATCAATCATGGCTTAACAAGAACACCACTGGTGCTAATAAAAGGTACAATATGGTGAGGGTGGAAATCGGGCTATTGTTGTTCAGCCAAGATGAAAAGGAGGTCGTACTGTAGAGTGGCCAAAGAAAGAGGGAAAAGACCAAACCTTGAATGTTGAAATCATGATAGAAAAACCCAGAGAGCTGGCAGACATGATGCAGAGGAGTAAAGTGGACATACAATAAATTCAGGAGACCAAGTGGAAAGACAGCAATCTGTTTTTATCTGTTCCATTGTGGTGTGGAGGAGGAAATAAATGGTGTCTCTGTTTTCATGAAGGAGGAATTTGTCAGTAATATTTTTCTTACCTTTTCTTCACTAAATTGCCATTGTTCTGGAGTGTTTACTCTAAATACTTAACATCTTCCATTTTCTTTATCTCCTCTTCACGTAACCCCAAACTTATACAGTACTTGTTTCCCTCTGGAGACAGTGGCACTGGGGAAGATACAGGAGGTAGAGATGGAGTCGTTGAGGATCTTATTGGAAATGGCAATGATGGATTGGATCAGGAACGAATAGATCAGATGGACAGCTCATGCTGGATGATTTGGAGATAAAGCTAGAGAAGTCAGACAGATAGTTTGGATAAAGAGTGATAGGGATAGTGAGTACATTGGTAGATGGAAGTTGAAGCTAGAACTGCCAGGCAGGGGGCCTGAAGTAAGACCGAAGAGGAGATTTATGGCTTGAATTAAAGAGGATATGAAGGTAGTTGGAGTGTGAGAAGATGCAAAAGATAAGTTAGATGGAGACACAAGTCTCACTCTGGTGATCCTTAAATTGAAAAGCCAGAAAAAGCAGATTCAACTACATATGGTATTAATGCATCACCATCTTGACCATGTCATGATCTTGGTGCTGATTACTGGCCTGATTACTCATTTCATTAACCTGCCTAGCTCCGCCCAGTTTCAAATTACCAGTCATCTGACCCACCTGCTCCAGCCTCTATTTAACATCCCTTCTACCAGTCCTCCCTGCCAGATTATTGAAGTCCTTGGTTATAGCTTTCCAGCGTATCTAAGTGTTTCTGATTGCCTTATCCCGACCCGTTCTTCCTCTGAGCCTGCCTGTTGCCGTTCTGATCTGTTTGCCTGACCTGTCCTCGGACTCCTACTGGATTCTGTCTGTGTACCTAACGTAGAACTGATTTCTAACACCATCCTGGATTTCCCTTCGTTACCTCTTAGGTCTCTGATCTCCTGGCCCTGATTCCTGAGCACGTCCTCAACACCGGCTTTGGCTTCGCCGTCTGAATTATCCGTCCTTCCTTCGTCTGCATGGTTCTGATCTCCTGCCTGTTCTCCGACCTCTGGGACTTTTGCGTGTGGGTTAGGGCGCACCGACCGGCTGGAACCAACTTCGTCATCTGGGCACGGACTGAACTGTCCTCCACCAGATAGTGTTCACTAACCTGTGTTCTCCTCTTGCATAGGTTCCTGCCTTAGAAGTCCTCACTGTTTACTGCAGATCCCTTCTCTTAACAAATGTTTTTGAGAAAACCGAGAAAACTCTCTGCTTAGAAAACTGGGTCCTCTGTTCTAAACCTTGACAGACCAATGTGTTTCCTATTAATGATTAAAATTAATAATAAATGGTTGGTGAAAATTCCCTATTTAAAGAGGAAAAATATTATAAAAGTAAACAGTTTATAGACCTTTGAAAGTTTCATTTTAAAATGTTGACTTTATTTTAAATCACACCAATTTTTGTCATATCCTCTTTTGGGAGTTTATAGTAGTAAACTCTTAGACTGGGAAGATGGTGGCGTCATTCAAGCCCTAGGTCCGGCTTTAAATGTCATTGTGTTCTTGGGCAAGACACATTATCCACATTGCCTACTGATGATGGTCAGAGGTACAGTACCCGGTGGTAAAGCAGCCTGGCTTCTGTCAGTGAGCCCCAGGGCAGCTGTGGCTACAATGTAGTTCAAGTGCGTACATGAATGGATGAATGACTGAATTTAGTGTAAAGCGTTTTGGTCAAGTCTCCTGACTTATAAGAGTGCTATATATGTACTGTACAGGCCATTTAACATTTAGTACAAGCTTCCACGTTTCTGCTACCTTTTACCTTTATATACAACTCTGTGTGGAAGTCGAGATGTTTTATCCCAACTTTATAACTAAAGTAAAATTTATGAATCACTGTATTAGATGCAAGTAAACAATAGTTTGTCTACACTGATTCAGTTGAATTTGTAGGTATTTGTGCTGTGTTTTCTTTTTTTGGGGGGGCTTATGGTGTTTTTTTACTCGGATGCCGTATCAGAAAGAGCTATAGTAAATGTCTAACTCTTACTTCTGTGACTCTGTGTCCTTACTTTGGTTTGGGCGTGATTAACCTATCAATAGGAACACTAAGACCAGGACTACTACTATTAATTTTACTATTATAACTGCTACGAAGAATGATATGTCCATCCAACTTCTGATTAGTTGAGCACCTGGAAAGAACCCACAGATGCACAGGGAGAACATTAAAACTTCATGCAGAAAGGCCTGAAGGGCCTTATGCATCCAAGAAACAGCTACAAACTGTGCCACTATGCAGCCAAATAAGTACAAGACATCTCTATTTTTATTATTGCATCATCAGTTTGAATTAAAGGTCAATAATTATTAAATGTACAAAGAACTTGATTGGTCCATATTTGCCCTAACAAAGCTGTTTTTAGAGAGTAGAATATACAATAAAACCCTTTAAAATCATTAAAGAACTATTTGTGCGAAATGAATGCTTAAAAACTTTCTACAAGAACTCACACAGAAAACATGATCATCACACAAAGAATTATGGCTTTTAAAGACAGTTCATTTAATCTCATCGCTTTATACATTTGTGATTAAACTTTAATAGACAAATATAAATGCAGATAATGAAGGCCTTCTGTCAGTACATATACTGAGCAATCTTAGCATACAATAATGTCCTTTTCAAAATACAAGATATCATTAAATTACATGACAGAAAATGCTGTTTATATACATAGAGACTGGATAAACACGTTTGCAGGTGGACGTATGGTGAACACCCACAGTCAACAACATTACCTTAGATGAGCACAGAACCATTAACTTTTAACATTGCCAGGTTTAGTTCTTTTGCCATCTGCTTAAGGATTATACTGCGGTACCCAGATGAAAGCTCTGTACGGTAGATTGATTATGGTCACAGATTATACCAACACATAGAACACTGAAAAGGCTTTACAGTTTTTAAGGTTTACTCTAGAGCAGAAAAGACAGAATGTAATCATCCCAAATCAAACACCTTTAAATTTGTGCTCTGGTCTATTATATGAAGGTAAGGCCAAGTCCCAATTCAAGGCAAAAGAAAAAGTCTCATTCTTTGTTTCCCTTGTTGTATGTAACTCATGTTCCTCTTGTTTATCTCTGTAGCAATTCATCTCTTGTCAGTCCTTTCTTCTTGTAATGATTTTCACTTCTTTTTTATGTGAGAAAGAGAAGAAGCCTTAGCAACAGCTTTAGTTTCGGGGAGTCAGTGAGTGGCAGTCAATGAGTGGTCTTCATGGCCTTCCCTAACAAAGGTCCTTCAGAGAGCCTTTTATGCAGACAATGCGTCACAAGAACCTCAAACTCTCAGTTGTACAATTTTCATAATTTCCATCTGTCTTTTCGCTTTTACAAATTTCATTCAGCATCAACTGTCACCAGAGATTTTGCCTTCTTATTAAGAGTCTCAGAAATGACACCTTCTGCTTTTGGGATCAGCTTGTGGATGCATGACCTCTTTTTTCCTCCTCCTGGCAGTTCTACAAGACAAGCTGTGCCAGAATCAAAGCCAAAGCCGGGCTGGGAAGCAAAGCCAAGATGTTGGCACACAGAGAGGTATAGCGATCCTCTCTCAGGGCCAGGCCACCGTTCCTTTCAATACTAATCTGTGAAGATAGACAGAGAGGTGGAGAGATGAAAAAAGGTTAGACATAACTCTGATATGTGTTCTGTTTTTTTATGTTTTTGTCAACTGACAATGGAAAGGAGGAGATAGGATGAAGTGGAAAATAAACCATAAAATTCAAAGAAGTAACATAGATAGCACTTGACATGAGCATAGCGTCTTTCTACGACCAAATATTGCATCACATGACTTAATGCTGTGTAAAAGTTTTTGTTCTCATTCAAATTTTCTTTCTTTTTGCTTCCCTGTCATTTCTAAATGTTTCAGACTGAAAAATGTTTTCCATTATCTAATAAAGAATTTCTTTATTAAAAACCATTATCTACTGAGAGATAAAGCATGGAACAGTATCTATTCTACCCAAGCTACTATAAATCTTACATCTTAGGCCATTTAAATACTTAATAAGAAATTTGAAATATTATTTATTTTCCCAGGGATGCAAAAAGAAAAATATTTCTTGGGGGTTGTTTTTTAACTCGTCAACTGGAAAGGTATTCATGTTCCTGTTCATTCTGCTTAATCTTTCTGTCTTTTAAAAACTTACATTTTTGAACAGGATTTTAACTTTAGAAAACTTGCTATATTTCCACCTTGTATTTTTTGTATTAAGAAAACTGTTTTTCTTATAAAGAAAAAGTGTGCTGTGCTATTGTTATCATTATTAAGGTCTTCTTTATGTCTATGTACCTCAGGGAGGAGGTACGGTTCAGCCTGTGACCGACGGGTTGCTGGTTCGAGCCCCTGCTTAATCCTTCTCGGTCATTCTGACCTTAGGCAAGACACTTCACACGTCTGGCCTGCTGTTGGTGGTCAGAAGGGTGGGGGCACTGATTGTACAGCAGCAATGTTTCTTTCAGGGTAGCTAATGCAACTTACCACCATCAGCATGTGGGTGTGTGTGAATGACTGAATGTAGTGTAAAATGCTTTGGGGTTCTTGGACTTGATAAAGTGCTATAAAACTACAGGCCATTTACCATCTGTACAGCACTTTGGTTTTCAAAGCGCTTTATGAATAAACGATGATGGGCAGAAGATGTTCTTCTGTGGTGAAAGACAACTATTATATACAAATGCTGCAATAGGAGGGACCTGTTAAACCTTCTGAAAGTTTTGCACTGGAAATCTTGTGAAGTATGAAATGTTCTGGTAAAAAAGCTCTCTGTTCATTTTCCTGTTACATTGAGTTAAGAAAACAAAAATCTCTGTTATGTGGAGCATGCATTGGACTTAATGTCACAAAATAATACAGAGGTAGATCTAAATCACCACAGGCCTCACTTGCTTTAGTTAAGTTTTAAGGTTCAGTATTTAACAATATTATAAAAATCTGGGGAAAAAATGCATATTAGATTTCCTGATCTAACAAAAAAACAATGAGGAATCTAAAATTTAATAAAGAATCTGCATCATCCCAAGACGTTCTGGAAAATGTTCCATTCTATGGAAGGTGCACATTGAGTTACAATTGGTTTTAAACTTAAACCACAAACTGCCATTCAAATAAGGTCATAGCAGTAAAAAAACAAACAAAAAAAACATGCTGGAAGCATTATTTCTGCTCTTTTGCTTAAAATATAAAACTTAGGAAGAATGTCAAACTATCAGGTCATGACTTTAGGTTCCCACTCACTGTGGTTAGAGAGCAGGACAATGCAAACCTGCAAACAAAACAACAAAACAAAAAGAACAAGGAAAATTGGGGTTTTGGAGTAACCCCGGCAAATTCCAGATTGAGATCATATTTGGATGCTGTGATATAGTTTTAAACCATGTGGATGACTAAAGGACATTCAGTAAAGATGAAGTGGGCCGAAAAAGTTTGATGTAGCCACCAAGGATGGGGCAACCAATTAATAAATTTAAGGGCAAATCCCTTTTCACGAGAGGTTAAGTTGGATAGCTTATTCCCTGGATAAATTAGACGATAATCTTAAAAAAAATCCTTGTCTGCCAATAAAAGTGGTCTGAATATGTGAAACATATGACATTAAGTAAGAAACAGACAAAATCTTAGATTGGAGTGGGCAGAAACTTTTATACAGCAGCAGATATCTCAAGCCTCTGCAGCTTAGAATGATCCTTTCATTTTTAAACAAATTGGCAACAAAGGAAAACATCTTGTGTGTATTTAGATTTTTCAGTCCTTTAAGCTTGTGCCAGGAAGTCTCCAAATGGTGTTTAAACCTTTCATCACAAGCTTTATTTACAAGCAAAACATGCTGCGATGCCAAACTTACATTACAGGAGCCAGCAACAGCTCAGGAGTTCTCTTTTTAATATTTCACAAGATCTACCTTACAGGATGTATATAGCCACTGGGAAAAAAAACAAAAACAAAACTCAACACTGTATTGTTAGATGGCAAATATTCAAAGCACTTTTGGGTTAATGTGCAAGAAAATGTTCTTCGCACAAGTAGAATCAGGAAAGTATTTCATAACATTGTTAACGTTAAAGCAAAGAAAAGTTAGAATGAGTTCAGATATTAAATTCTTTGGCCTCCAGAGTTTCCCTCTAATATCCAAACAGCAGTGGGCTCCATTATGTGAAGCAGTTAACATTTGAATATCTTTTTTCCCCCCATTTCCTGGATTCTTGTAATATCAAACATTGCTATTTGTCTTCAAGTTAAAGAAGTCCTGGTCAATTTGTTGAGGACCATTTTTGGTTCAACAGAGCGTTACAGCAGCACATCATAAGGAACGGGAAACATTTTCTCCTCCTCCTGCTGCTACTCCGTCACCTCATTTTCACCACAGCAACGATTAAACTGGTCCATTTCTCAGTAGACAGAAAAGAATGAAAGAGGAAAAGCTTTTATACTGATGTTGTCTACCCAAGCCTTATCTTATTCTACAGCAAGATAAGTCATAAATAATGAAAAAACAAATATGATTCAGAAAAAAAATACTTAAGCATATGAACAAAGTTAATACAAAAAAGAGAACAGGTAGTTCTCCAAATAAGATGCTCTTATGCCATTATGCCAGTGTTTGAGCTTAAGCATAGAGGTATATCTTTATTATTGATAGTGCATGATAATTGATAATATTCTGAGATGAATGAGGGGAAACATTTGACAAAATGTCCCATTTCTTCCTGCAGTCTTAATGTTTTACCCACAGATTTGCTAAAGAAAGCTTTGCCCATCATAATGTCTGATTTGACTCAAATAGTAAAAAAAAAGACAGAAAACGTTTGTCAGGTGATTCCCCCAGGTCATAAAAACAGCAATTATGCAACTGCTACTTCAACGAGATTTTACTTCAGGACTACAGGCCTATCTCAAAGCTGTTTAGGCAACTAAACACCTTTCTACCAATGTCCCACCATTTCGACGTCTTCCATTCATGCTTTCGTTCTTATAGAATTACTCTTGTCAAGGTGTGATCTATTATACTAATGCTCTGAACTTCAATATGTTTTTTTTTTCTTTTTACCTTTTTTTTTCTCCCACACTCTTTACATTTGTTCACTGCTGCATTTTATGGAATGAAAATTTTAATTTACTGTCTGAAAAGCTGTACTAAAGGAAAATCTGTTGTGTATCGATGTTACAAAGACACTTCTGATCAATCTATTCTATTAGAGCCCAAGAAAAACTGGATGGGCCTTTTAGGTGCAGGGATTGACTGTTTTAAATTCTTCTTGTGGGTAAGCCTGTGCAAAAAATCAATTCAATGAATTAGTTCAAATTATTTGTTGTGGATTATTTAAAAAAAAAAATGTACATTTTTTTTTTCTAATAACGGCATATTTTTGTCTCCCCGGAGTTTCTGTAGCTGCAGTGTTGTTGTGAAGTTGCAGTTTGGCAAGCAACAGCATCACACGAAAAAGCAAACGACATCATAACTACAGGTGAGTGAACAAAAGGAATAAACTCATCTGTTGTTTGGAACTGCAGGGCTTCTCTAGCGTAGTAGCGGATTTCTGACATGCGGCAGCTGCGGTTGGGGATTTATTTATTTTTTTCAGGAGGGGATTGTAATCGTAAATCGAATTAAAAATAAAAAAAATCTAATTTTCCATCCCATCCCTACTTGAGGGACAGGGATGTTCATGTGTCAGTAGATACATTTGCATCAGAAAAATAAAAAAACAACCTTACAACCAACCACATGTAGAGGTGAGGAGTAACTACTTACATTTACACAGTTATATTTACTCGAGTAACTAGTTTGGAAAAAAAAAAAACACCTTGAAGAATAGCTGCACCACAATGAACTTATTATTTTGATGCTGGTATAAATATGATGAAGTGTTGCTTCTCCTACTTGAATGAAATTTCTAGTTTATCCATCCATCATCAATAACTTCACTCAGTGAAGAACAAGCATGTTTTAAACAAAAATACACCACAGAGAAAAACACCTACATTTTAGATTTAGTGAGATTTTGTTTGTGTTTAAGCTGCATTGGTCAAATTATATTTTATATCTGCTGATTCTGTCATTTGAAATTTAAGTAAATACACATTTAAACATTACACTATATCTTGTTAATAGAAGTAAATTACACTATGATACTGCTCAAGCATAACATGCTGCAATTGTTGATTTCATAAGTCTCTTAAAAAACTAATCTAAAAATATATTTTGAATAGTATTTCCTGCACCTGACGCTTTTATTATGTAATTACTGTATGTTTTACATATATATTGTTTTCTTTAAATAACTTTACATAATTTCTAGATTTTTAAATCAGATGAACACAAGTAGTTCGTAAGTCAGTTGGTACTTGAGTAGCCTTTGTAACAAATAATTTTTTACTTTTACTTGAGTTATTTCTGGGATGGCAAATTTTTACTTGTACTAGTGTAAAACTACGATGAAGTAGTGCTACTCTTAAGTGCATTTTCCGGGTACTCAATCCACCTCTGCCTACATGTGCCCCCTAACTCAGACTAGTATAAAAAACAATATAACTTGCCATAGTTATAGTGTAAAGTTGACACCGCTCTATATTACAATGTCA